GAATTTGGCTCGAATCTCAACAATCTCCCACTTGGAGATGGATAACAATTCTGCCTCCCATTGCAACAATATTGTCCATCATAATTCAGTTTTTTAACTGGACCAACAACTTCTAACTGATCAACATCTTCTTGGCACCAAACCAACGCTCGACTCCCACTACACCAACAACTTATAATATCTTATGTGACGTTTGAGTAGAGAGGATGAGTACATTAATGAACTGATACTCATCCGAATGGAGGCATCCTGAGACCATGGAAGCATGGTTAAGAAAACACTTAAAAGAATTGATAGTTACCACCTATACTAATAAGGTGCACCTTCTTTGTCGCTAATACTTTTTATTTGCGACGCATAAACCCCGTCGCTGATAATAATATTAGCGACAATACGAATAAGTCGCTAATAGTAATTATTAGTGACAACAACCGTTGTCGCTGGTAATGATTATTAGCGACGAGGCACTAACTTTGTCGAAAAAAGTAAAAACGACGCGGTTTTATCGACAAACTTAGCGACGAACGTGCTCCCGTCGCTGCTGATACTTTTAGCAACGAAATTGGATCTTCAGCAACAATTTTTCTATGTCCCTAAAAGCCTATTTTCTTGTAGTGTCAATCGTAAGAAATGTCAAGGATCCTACATTGGTAAGATAAGAGACCTAGCAAAGGTTTATAATATAAGTGGGCTACTATTCTCATTGTCAATTGGTTTTGAGATGAAACCTCATGAATAATAATATGGTATCAGAGCCCAAAACGCTCAAGCGAGCAACTGATCCAAAAATGGGATCCGGCCAAGATCGAGGAGCTAAAAGAGCCACGATCTTGAGGAGCATATTAAGGATCCCACATTGAAAAGAAAAGGGACCTTACAATGGTTTATAATAGACATGCAATTGGTTTTGAGATGAAACCCGACCATGAATGTTAATATGGTACAGCTCAAACGAGTATCCAACTCTGTCTTTCTGAGAACATTTCATAAAATTCTATTTCATATATGATTTATGAAATCAATTTTTCTAACACAATTTCATAGTTTCAAACATTTATCAAAATTTCAAAACAATTATAAATGTTCAGTAAATACAATTTATAAAATTTCTGAAAACTTCTAAACATTAAATATATAACTTCTTCAAAGTCTTTAATAATATATAATAGAAAAACACGTAAATTCTGCTTGACCTCAAATAACGATCTGTCAAAATTAATTCATACTTTATTCAACACAAATTGAACATAAACCATAAAATTTTCTGTTTGGGGAGGAAAAACCCTACTGCCACGTGGAGGACGAGGATTCGCCACTAAAGGAAGATCCGAAAGGACAACTCATCGAGCTCCATCTCGGAACCTACCGAGGTGGAAGACTCCGCCATTTCCCGTCAAAGATCAACTCGTCATTTTCAGGAAAGTGTCCTAGCTCAATTTGTTGGAGCCCGACACGTCCGACCTTAAATCAGACCAAGGTAACCGCTTGTCGCAACCCTTGTCGGAACGTAAACGTATAAATAGAGGGTCTCATTTCACCATAAGGTATCGAATTTCACCTCGAACTTAATATTGAGTCCGAACTGCTTACTGACGCTCTATTTTTCATTGAATCTCTTATAATTTTCAGATTTCTGTTTTCAAATCATCAACCAAACGCAACCTTAACAACCTATAAGAGAATTTTGATGAGTTGTGCTATGATCATGATGTTTATTTCCATACCATAATTTTTCCCACTATAATATTTTTCAATTATGCCTCAAAATTAGTAACAAGTAAACTTTCCCCAGATGACATTAGCTAGCAAATCAGCAAATCAACTTTATATAATATAAAAAGAAAACTTTGAATTGGACCCAAACACAAGATGGCATTTAGGGTGCATCCAAAGTATGATTATAAAACTCTTTGATGATCACACTCTTTCAGATACAAAGAGATTCCAGAATATACTAAAAAATTCATCCCCATATATTCTAGGGATAGGTTGAACATGCCTTTAGGATAGATAAAACTGCAATATATAATACAATATAGCAAAAATTGATGCATTATGATTAATTATAAGGTTATTCTAATGGGAGCTAAGGTTGACATATACCGTAGGATTTCTTTCTCCATGTGATGTGATTTTGAAATATGTTAGATTTCTTTTTCCTAATTTGAAATATACCTAATTAAAAGAAGAAAAATGAAATGCAAAGCCTACATCTAACTGTTATATATATTTTTTCGAACACACATGATGGAAGTAGGAGATTTGAACTATGATGCTTTAGGAGGAGATTTGTGTCTTAATTAGTTGAGTTATAGTTAGGTTGACCTCTACCCATTATGATTAAGAACAATTGTTGGATGCAGGTTTCGTGAGTTGTACGTCACCCAATTCACACTCTCTCTCCTCTATTTGAGGAGGCGCAGCCCAAATCCACACATTCTCCCTCCTCTACCTGAGGAGGCACCCCATCCACACTCTCTCTCATCTACGTGAAGAGGCGCCACCCCTTCTTGTTTACTTAAATTCCAAGAGAAAACCATTGATGTCATTCTCAAGATTTTGAGCTTGAAATCACTCTCAATTTCAACCAGATTCACAAATTTTTCTTGAAATTTTCATAAACTCGAGTTCTCTTGATTAAGATTTCGAGCGATATGTCGTTTTTTTAACCTTTTCATAAACAAAGGAAAAAAAACTAAAAAAGAAAAAAGAAAAAAAAACATCCTTCTCCGCAAAAGAAAATGTAATAGAAGGATTTCTCATTTCCATGTCCGAACGAACAGCACCAATAGTGCATGTCGGAAGACGTCTTGGGCTTATCCCAAACATATGTTGCAAGTCCAATTAAAATCTTCCAATATCCATAATTTCTGTGATTTTTCTCAAAATATCGTCAAAAGTAAACAATTAAACTGCATTAATATCCACAATTTCGGTGATTTTTCTCAAAATATCGTCGACATCGACATGTCTGTAAAATCGAAACCTCAACATTTCCATCGACATTGAAATTTTGAACCTTACATGTTGTAAGGTAGCATGAGAGAGATGAAATAATGGTTTTTAGTGAAGAGAGAGTGAATGAGATAGTTAAAAGAATATTTTAAGTTTATTTTAAAATGTTTATGCAAGAATTTGCACAACCATGATTTAACTTGAAGCCGGTCCCTGCTCCGACCTGAAACTCTAAAGGAAGACCTACACAAGAGGCAAAATCTCCGACGCTCAAGTCAGTAAGCAGCTCGAACTCAATATTAAGTTCGAGGTGAAATTCGATACCTGATGGTCAAAGGAGGCCATCTATTTATAAGTTTAGGTTCCGACAGGAGTTGCGACAAATATCGCTAAAGAACATTTTAATTTAAACGACGTTTTTGTACAAATATCGCTAATACTATATTTCAGTGATGCCATTATGAAATGGAGTTGGGAAAAATTACTTACCAATAATGATCTTTTCCCCTTCAATAGTTGTTCAGTAGAAACTAAATCCAACACACAATAACAGAATATATAGGGAAAACACATAAACGATACAAAGGCTACGTCCAATCTTTTGCTACACGTGGGTTCTACTATAATACAATTGGTACAACGGGCATACAATTCTCTCAACTCTAGAAGACTCAGACAAAAGTCATCTAGCTTCTAGGAACTACAACAATACGATCCTAGAAAACAAGAATGAAAAACCTCACGAAATACCTAAGAGAACTGGTTGCACACCTTTGCAACACCTCTTGAGATGAGGTACTCCACATCTCAACGCTACGAACATTGCAACACTAAAAAGACACCTCGTGTGCTTTTTTTTCTTGATTCGCGACAACGTCGCTTGCTTGGCTAGCAGACCCCAGCACCCGCATCTTTTTTTTTTTCACTCTTTCTCCTCCATTGAATTTGGCTCGAATCTCAACAATCTCCCACTTGGAGATAGATAACAATTCTGCCTCCCATTGCAAAAGATTGGACGTAGCCTATGTGTTTTCCCTATATATTCTGTTATTGTGTGTTGGATTTAGTTTCTACTGAACAACTATTGAAGGGGAAAAGATCATTATTGGTAACTAATTTTTCCCAACTCCGTTTCATAATGGCATCACTGAAATATAGTACTAGCGATATTTGTACAAAAACGTCGTTTAAATTAAAATGTTCTTTAGCGACTATTATTACAAAATGTCGCAGAAAGTTCGTTTTCTTACCGTGATTTATAACGAAAGTGATGCCAATAAATGAAGACCATGAATGGAGGCTCCAGAATCCACCGACCATTGTTCATTTGCAGTGTCAAAACTTACTGACATCTTATACATGCTTGGATTTAAATAAAATTTGTGCAAATCATTCTTCGTTAGCTCAATAAATATCGTGTCGCATATCAACCTCTAAGTAACAAATTTTAACAACAAAGATTTAACTTAAAATTAAATTTGAAAGTTGAAAAATGTAATTCAAACTGTCCAAAGTTTAAGGACCAGATAAATTCAACCATCAAAACTCCGTGAGCTAAATTTATAATTTCAAGAATATAAAATTGGAAGTAAAAGAAACGTGAAAGTCTCAAATAAGAGTAGGAAAGAGAAAAAAAAAAAAAGGATTATTATTTAAAGTGTCTTGAGGAAAAGTCTTCTTCCCCAAGTGTGGGATAAGTACGGTTCACACATCCCAAGCCTACAATCCTTCCTATATTATTTAAACTACAGTATGTCAATTAATTAAAGAGCCACACAAATGGCCATTAATTTTAATAATCCACCAAGGCAGCTAATTAAAATAGCACATCAACATGATGCGGACGCCAATAATTATTCGAATGCCAAAGTATAGAACATAACCAGCTGACTTTTTAAAGCAGACGTATTGTGTAAATGACATCTTTTATATATTATAATGTATGCATGTCACACTCCAATAATAATGTCTCAAAAGGAGGAACAATTCAACCTTCCCTAGATGGATGATATCAGCAAATGAAAAGTTATAATTCAGGACGTGGATCCAATCACAAAATGCCATCTAGCTAGGATGCATCCAAAGTCTCATTATAAAACTCTTTGAAGATGGTTCTTTCAGATACAAAGAGATTCCAGAATATACTAAAGTAAAGAACTTCCCTCTTGGATCCTAACTCTTGCAGAAAAGTCCAAATTAAACCCATTACAATATAGAAAATATATATAGCACAGCAGAGATATACAAAATGAAGCATTAATTATTAATATTATAAGGTTGGAGGATGAGGCAAATAATTAATGAAGTCAAACATGGGAAGGAGTGGCGTTGGGTGGGGTTGGAGCTGACGCAATTTTCCTGCCACGTTCGGACCTGCTATTCTCAGCGAACTTGATGCTCTGCTGGTGCAGACCCTTCTTCTTCTCGTCCTCAGTCCATTCAGACCCATAATAGAATTCTTCTGTGGATTTCTCCACGTGTTTGGTGGGCGGCAAGAACATGCTCCCCCACTGCGGGAAGTGAACCAATGTGACCGGAAGAGTGCAGCACACGATCATAATGCCCATCAAGAACAACCCTTTGTCTGTGGAGTATTTCGTTGTCGAGAAGAACACCAATTGAGTCAACCCAGACCCGAAGTTGCCTCCTGCGCCTGTGAGGCCCGATATAATGCCCAACGAGCGCCGGGAAATGAAGGGAATGATCCCAAACGTGGCTCCGCACGCAGCCTGGGCTCCTATTGAGAACAGGATCATGGCCACTATGGCCACTGGAAGCTGGGTTGCCTTCCCAAGCCACATGCAGAACACTCCACCGCACGTTTGGAGGATCCACAGGGTCCACAGCCTTCCCCTCATCCCGAAATATCGAGCTGCGAAGTCGGAAGCGTACCCTCCGAAGGGGCGAGCCACTAGATTCGCCATCCCGAAGGTGGCTGCGATGATTCCCGCCGTGTGCAGCTTCAGGTCGAACCTGTCGTAGAAGTACTCGGCGACGACGTTGTCGGTGGAGAGCTCGACGCCCATTGAGTAGCCATACAGGAGAACGAAGATCCAAGTTCTGTAGTTGGTGACCGCGTACCACAGCACCTGAAACATTTAACAATAACATCTTCCGTTAATTATTATAATAGACATCACTATCTACTAGAGGGTAAGGTGGGAAGTTACGTTGGAAAATTTATCCTTGGCCACGGTGCCCTTCTTTTGGAGACTGCTGAGATTTCCGTCGGGCAAGTCCTGGCCGAGAGTCATGACCAAAATGCCCATGAGGACGTGGAGGGAGCCGGGGATGAAGAAGGCGATCCTCCAGGCGGTGAAGGGGGTGGCCCCGACCTTCTTGATGATCTCGTAGAGGAGAGGCATGAGGAGCTGGGTGGCGCCTCCGCCCATGTTGCCCCAGCCGGCGGCGGTGCCGTTGACGAGGCCGATGATCTGGCTGTTGAACATGGTGCTCATCCAGTACTGGCAGGAGACGAAGGTGGCGAGGGAGAAGCCGATCATGAAGCGGACGGCGATGTAGCCGGCGGGGGAGGAGACGAAGGACATGCAGAAGACGGTGGGGGCGGAGAGCATGATGAGGAAGGCGCAGCCGTAGCGGGGGCCGAGGAGGTCGCAGACGGCGCCCATGACGAGACGGGAGAAGATGCTGCCGGAGACGGAGGTGACGCCGGCGTTGCCGATGTCGGACTTGGTGAGGTTGAGGTTGTCGCGGATGATGGGGACGAGAGGGGCGGCGGCGAAGGTGGAGACGAAGCAGGTGAAGAAGGAGATCCATGAGAGGTGGAAGGTTCTCATGTGGGGGTTGGCTAAGGAGAAGATCTTGAACACCTTCGCCTTGTGCTCCGAGTCCACCGGGAGTGCGAATTTGGCGCTCGTGTCTGTTGGGACTATTGGGGACGCCACCGAGAACGCGAATGTCTGCTCTCTCCCGGTCACTCCATGCATCGAGCTCCCTGGGGATCCCTCAACATTCCCACTACCGCCGGCCATTTTCTCTGATGATCTTTCTCTTTCTCTCTCTTTCTCTCTAACCTGAATTAATACGCCTACTACTACTAATGGGGGATCTGCTCAGCTGCTGAGTTCAGGTATTTATAGTGGCGAGTTCGCGTTGACAATTACAATTACAACACCTCATTCTGACTATATAGAATAATCCACTCCGGCCGCCGCATTACATACATAACTTACCTTCCAGAAAAGCCCCATCGTATATCCCAAGGATCAAATAATAATAGTATCCCCCACCACACGCTTACCATACCAACATTATTATATTCTCCCATGCTTTTTCCCTTTTCTACTATTCTGGACAAATAGTATAATCATAAATCAAATATGCCGACTTTGTTCCTGATCTACCACATATTAAATACCTTTATACCACCTCTGACGTTTATTTCCTATTTCGTTAACATTTTAATCTCCTTCAATTACATTGGCAAATATAAATTTAACTCATTGATAATAGGCACATGTTTAGGTCTATTGAAAAAAAATTATTAAGTGTGGTTGCCACAATAGAATTGTCCAATAACTATTTGATACATATCAAAAGGCGGTGATGACAATATCCATATTTGGTCTTATCTTCGGATAAAATAAGTTGATCGACCACCTACTTCTGCACTGTGTTCTGGGCTAGTTCGTGGTATTGCCTTTTAGGTGAATTTTCTACGATGATTTCGCTCCCTGGTTGTAAATTGTAAATTGACAATCTTCTACAAGAAATTCTACATAAAAATTTTAATTCCAAATCTATTATCCTCGTGCAATGCTGTGGTTTTAATAATTATAGAACATGTGGCTGGAACAAAATCATCTTACTTTCTCAAATTTCACCGGATCAAACATCCATATTTGGAAAGATATCAAAATTTCAGCTTTAACCTGGTCAACAAAATCTCATCTCTTTTGTAAGTATGCTATTTGTACAATTTTACTCCACTAGAATGCTTCTTCATAACACCTATTATTTTTCTATGTTTCTCACGTACCCATTGATGAAATGGACGGTATCTTAAAAATAAAAAGTTTTCAAAAATTTGATCCATCCAAAATAAGTTTTATAATTTCTCTTTAAAACTAGGTTATTCTAGCCTCTTCCAATAATTTCTCATCCATCGAGGCTCTAGATTTATTTCCCAATCTCCCTACTCAATTATATCACACCTCGCCAGTCGGCACCTAGACATTCACTATTTGACAAATTGGTAGTTCTACACATTAGAAAAAAAATGCACAAAAAAGTTCTGATCGATGGGATGATTACTATAATATTTTTCCCAACCACCTGACCCACCCAATTGATTCTTTACACATTTTCCAACTCTTTTTGCACATTCCAAGTTAGAGAGAAGCAACAACCATATGGAGTTATCGTCCCTTAGATACTTTCTCTAAATCTAAATACTATTTAAATTCTCCAAACCAATATCTTATTGTATATTATGCTTTTGGCTGACCTCATTTTTGGCTGCAAGTGACAAATTCAAGTGCTTAATCCTACACAGCATACTATGATATAAATTACCCACAATCTCGTATAAAGTCTATTGTTTTTATAATCTCAACTTGGGCGATTTGTAGCTCTTCAAGTTGTACGTTTGCGGGTCTGTTGGAGACATAAATTATATCTTATATCGGCTAGCTTACCCTTTCACGAGCTCTTAGAGTTGTTCCTTATTTTTCTTTTCTCAAATATAATATTAAAATTGACGACTTTGGGACTTTAATTGTATACGAGTTGATAAGTTGTGAAGTGTTTCTTACTTTGCTGGTAAAAGTACTTTTCGAGATGAAGCTATAAATTTTGTGGGTGAAAAATTTTACCTTATTGAAATGAATGAATGATATCTCAAAATTCAAACTATCTCATTACAATAAATTTTGAGTAAGAAATACATTCGCTCAGAGGGGATCAGCTAGCTAGCTTATTAAATAGCAATATTAAAGAAAATATGGATCCTTTTTAACATTTTGGTATTACGTTAATTTGATCCTAGCTTAGTATATAAGATATCTATTAGCACAACAACCATGTAGTTAATCCTCCACAGCCCCACCCCAACTTAGTTATGTTGAATGCAAATGAAAAAAAAAAAAAAAAATTTGGTACGTACATTATTGAGTTTTGCCACGTTAATTTGACTTTGGAAAGAACCTTCATTTTAAAATTAGTATCGTTATTAGCTATATTGGTTTGTGTAACTTAGAATAAATTTCTCTTTTATTGGTTTGTGTACATGTATGTGATTCTTTTTCATCCCAGTGAAGTTTTATAAATGGAACCGGCTACGTTTTGACTGTTTATATATGTGTATCAATTTTTTTTTTTTTTTTGAGAAATTGCACTAATTACACCTCATAAAACTTACAAAATTGTCGCAACTAAACTCAATCGTTATAATATATATTGTTAGTGATAGATTGCAAATTGTAGAAACCCATCCCTAAACTATAATAATTGATACAATTAAATCTCAAACAATAGAGTTTTTACAATTTAGTCCAAAATTTTTAAGCTAATATTTTAAGGTTAAAATTATAGTTTTCAAACTTTATAGACATTTACTGCTACAGTAAATGGACCAAATAGATAACCCTCAGAAAATTCATAAAGTAATTAAATTTATAATATAACTTAAGTAATTAAATATTTGACGATGTACAATACCAACTAATATTTAATCAATTGAAAATGTTATATCCTTATTTAGTTAACGGTATTACCAATAAATACTATAAAGAATCACAATTGTACATATATGTTCTCTAACTTGAGAATTATGATAAGCTATTTCATCAAACCAATAAAATATAATTAACCTTCCAAATTGAGAGTATCTTCTGGGTTTACTTAACAGCTTAATATGATGTTTCCAAACTAGCTAAACCTTAATTGTACTCTTAAAAGTCAGAGAATGGCTACAAGGAAGAAGCAATTAATCTTGTCAAGGCCTTGCCTGATGGCCGACCTCACCATAACCTTCCTTGGTGGTCGATCTAAAGTGACCGATCTGAGGTCTTCCCTGAAAATCATTCAAGAGAGAACGACCTTCCATACCTAGTCAAATTTCAAATGACAAGAGTATGATCTGGAATAGCTACTCCCGACATGCTCAACCGCTAGTCGGATTCCTTGTCGGGTACCTCAACCTACAAATAGGGCACTTCACCCTTCAGTCAGGTATCGTATTCTAGCTCGGTCTCCATATTGAGGTAGGACTTAAAACTGACTTGAGCGTCGGAGTGTTTGTTCTCTTGTGCAGGTCTTTCCTCGTCAAGTGGTCTTTCACCTCATTCCTGACACTTCAGTTCATTTCAGTCCGCCCACCATCACCTCTTGAGTTGGTCATTCTTTTTCAAGGACACCCAAGCTCTCCCAGCAGTCATACTTGGGGTAGGTTAAGCTCTCCAAGCAATCATACTTGAAGTAGGTCGAGCTCTTCCGCGTGGCCGGTCGTACCTCGATTAATTTTTATTTTTGTTTTTACATAAACAAACCAGTTTAACTATGTTCAAATTGCTTCCAACTAAAATAGTTAATACTTACAAAACCAAAAATTAAATTAAACAAGCAACATCAGCACATTCATAAGCAAAATAACGAAGTCAAAATCAAACTAATTACAAATTAATTCACAACATACCTTCAGCACAGGTTACAAAGAATGTCCGGGACCAGTACGATACTGGCCACAGTAAGCTCAAAGCCAAGCTTATAAATTCCAACCTAAAAACAACTCATGAAATAAAAGACACAGAGAACACATAACTGAGATTATATGTATATTTAAGTAACAATCAAACTAACAACAAGAACATAACTTTCTATACTTAGTGACTTTTTAGTTCTCAATTTGATCAAAAGTACCTTCTACTTTTAATAGGAACACTTTTAAAAGTATTTTCAAATATACCTTCAAACTCTTTTGTCCAAATAAAATTAATTTCAAAATAAATGTCTATAGGTGAACCACCGCGAACAAATCAGCACTGGGTCGACCACCATGGGACTACTAACATAGGTAGACCAACTCGAGTCGACCTGCTTGGGCCGACCAGCATGGCTCGACCAGCCTAAGACTCTTAGGGATCCCACATTGAAAAAGGGACCTTATAAAAATTTATATAATAGACATGAAGTACCTCCTCTCATAGTCAATTGATTTTGAGATAGAACTTCATGAATATTGAAAGAGACGACCACCCTTGGTAGACCAGCACATGCCGATCACCTTGTGTTGACTAGGCCAAGTTGAATAACCTAGCTGAACACTTCAGGTCGTCCCACCTAGAACAATTGGTACAGGCCCTACTGGATGACCATCTCAGGCCAACCACCTCAAAACTACCATCTTAGGTTTAACCATCCAAAAGTTCATCAATCAGAGCCCCACCACCCCACTATATGGATGATCACTTTTACCAAAATTGTAGGGGAGGAGGAAGGGTGCTTGAGATTGGGAGTAAAAAAAATTAATTAAAAGTAATAGATATTTATGAAGTAATCAATTAATTGTAAAGAATATAAAAATAATTTATTTATTTAAATTTATTATTAATTATAATGTATTTTTTAGTAATTTTATAATTCTAAATTCACCTTCAAAATCAAATATTATTTAAAATTACTTTTAACTATATGAAAATCAGTTTTATAAAATTCATTCCATTTAAATCTCTTTTTAAAAAATCAATCATTCCCAAAATATATTTGAGGCATCTTTTCCATTTTCTCTATTCTATCTCTTTTATGAAACAAGATTATGATTATCTTTGATATCCATTTTTGTATTTGTTTGTTAGGAATTGAGTCAAACAGAAGATCCGTGTCGTACGAGGAAAAAGATTTTCGACAGTATTGCAACTTTCCACGGCGATTAGGATATTCTTTCTTATAAAAATTAGGATACTACTTTCATAAATGTTAAAGTTTTATTTGTATAGAATCCAAAAGAGAATTGAGTAGTTGTGGACATTGTTTGAACAAGAATTTGTATCTCGTGGTTTAGTGAATGTGATTTCAATTGTGTAATATCCTTAATTAAATAGTCATTGTT